TCCCACTGCGGCTGGGGAAGGGTTGGGGATGAGCAGCAGCACAGCGCCGCTGGAAGCGCCGATCCCAATGCAGACTCCAGCCCCACACTCCCTTGAACCAATGTAACGCCTGCCTCCACGCGTCCCTGCCCCTGCCACCCCTGCGCCCCCCGCAGGCCATCCCGCTGCTCAAGGAGTCGATCAAGAAGGCGTACGGCAAGAAGGGCGACAAGATTGTGAACATGAACTACGCGGCGGTGGACAAGGCGCTGGAGCACCTGGTGGCCATCGACATCCCCGCAGACTTTGGCAAGGGCGTGGTGAGCGGGGCGGGGAGGGCGCCTGGCCTGCCGTGCCTGGCCTGCTGTGAGAGGGGTCACAGTACTGAATGGTGTGGCTGCTGCCTGGCCTGGCAGAGAGGGAGTGCTGCAGTGCTGGGGTGGGGTGTGGGGTGTGGGGGGGGGGGTCGGCGTGCCTGCCGCAGGCGGGCACACCAAGGTCTCACCCGGCTGGCCTGGCCCTGCTGTGTGCCTGACCGCCCCCTGCAGGAGCGGCTGGGCGCGGCTGAGCACGCCGCCGCCTCTACGGGCTCCCGCACCGCGGCCGAGTTCCTGAACAATGTGGTGATGCCCATGCTGGCCATGGAGGGGGACAAGCTGCCCGTCAGGTCTGCGGGCCACAGGGGTAGCGCAGATTGCTTGGGGGGCTGGCATGGTGCTGGCGGGCATGTGTGTGCAGCTCCCTGGCCTGGTTTGACTTTGCATGCAAAGGCAGCGCTGCGGGCGCGCTGTGGCACCCAGCCGCTACCCAAGGCTCGGCGTCTCCCGGCCCCTCACTCCCTGCGCTCCCCTCCCGCCCCTGCCTCCTCCCCTCCCCGCCCGCCCTCCCCGCAGCGTGTTCACCCCTGGCGGCTTCTTCCCGCCCGGTACCACCGCGGTGGAGAAGCGCAGCATCGCTCAGGTGGTGCCCGCCTGGAACTCCGCCAACTGCACCCAGTGCAACATCTGCTCCTTCATCTGCCCCCACGCCGCCGTGCGCCCCGCGCTGGCCACCCCCGAGGAGCTGGCGGGCGCGCCCGCCGGCTTTGCCACCGTGCCGATCAAGGGCGGCGGCCCCGCGCTCAAGGGCTTCCAGTACCGCATCCAGGTGCGCCTGCCGGGGCTGCCTTCCTGTTCTAGCGGCGCTTGTTTCCCGTGGTGTGCTGTGCAGCGCGGGGTTGCAAACGGCCCGCAGCGGCAGCGCGCTTGCGCCATGCCCCGCCTCGCGGGCCTGTACCCCTCGGCCTGCCTGCTGCCAGGCCCCTCCTTGGTGCCAGCCCCTGCTGCCCAAGCCGCTCACCCTGCCTGCCTGCTGGCCTGCCTGCTGGCCTGCCTGCCTGCCCCTGCCTGCCCCCGCAGGTCTCCCCCACCGACTGCACCGGCTGCGAGCTGTGCGTGCACGCCTGCCCAGACTACGCCCTGACCTCCACGCCCACCGCACAGATGCTGGAGGCGGAGACCACCAACTGGGACTTCTTCAAGCAGCTGCCCGTCAGGTGCGCGCGCGCGTGTGGTGTGGTGGACCGCGGCTGCTGCTGCGGCGGCACAGGGCGCCGCGCTGCGCGGCTGCGTGCCATGCCTGTGGCGCGGCCTGCTGGGCAGCTGCCTGGCTGCCTGGGCGAGGCCGCCGCTGTCGGCCTGCTGCGCTGCCTGCGCCTTTTCCCGCGCCCCCACCTGCCTTTCCCTCACCTGCCGTGTCGCCCTGCCCTGCCCTGCCCTGCCCCTCCCCACAGGGGCGAGCTGTTTGCCAAGGACACGGTGCGGGGCAGCCAGTTCCAGCCGCCGCTCATGGAGTTCAGCGGGGCGTGCGAGGGGTGCGGCGAGACGCCGTACGTCAAGCTGCTGACGCAGCTGTTTGGCACGCGCATGCTCATCGCCAATGCCACGGGCTGCAGCTCCATCTGGGGAGGCTCCGCCCCCGCCAACCCCTACACCACAGACTTCAAGGGCCGCGGCCCCGCCTGGGCCAACTCCCTGTTTGAGGACAACGCCCAGTTTGGGTTTGGCATCGCCATGGGCGTGAAGCAGCGGCGCGCTGCGCTGGAGGCCGCCGCCAAGGTGGTGGTGGGCGAGGGCGCAGGCACGCCGGAGCTGCGCGCGGCGCTCGCAGAGTGGCTGCCCATTAAGGACAACGGCGCGCTGGCAGGGACCGCGGCCGCGGCGGTCGCAGCGGCGCTGCCCGCCGCCAACGGCAATGGCAACGGCAACGGCGCGGTGGTCAGCGAGGCGGCTCGTGGCGCGCTGGCTTACATCCAGGTGGGCAGTGCTGGCCGTACTGGGGGCACCTGGCTGTACTGCACACACAGTAACACAGCAAGCTGGAGTGGACCCAGGCGCTGAGTGCTGGGCACCTGCCTGCAAGCTCTGTGCACCCTGGGCCGCCCTGGTTGCCTGCCCACGCCTCTGCTCTGTTCCCACTGCGCACCGCTCTGCCCTGCCCCGCTGCCCCTGCAGAACAACACCGACCTGCTGGACAAGCCCAGCGTGTGGATTGTGGGCGGCGACGGCTGGGCGTACGACGTGAGCCTCCCGCTGGCCAGCCACAGCCCTCGAGGGGCTTCACCACCCCACCGTGCTCAACCAGCCTGCTCCCACCTGCGCCCTCGCAGCTGCTGCTGCCGCCGCGTGCAGGTGCTGCTGCTGCCGGCTGGCACAAGCCCCGCCCCCGACTGCATGCTCCATCCCTGCCTGCCCTGCAGATTGGGTATGCCGGGCTGGACCATGTGATGTCCACGGGCGAGGATGTGAATGTGTTGGTACTGGATACCGAGGAGTACTCCAACACGGGGGGGCAGAAGGTGGGCGGGCACGGGTGGGGCTGCCGCGTGGGACGGCGGGGTGGGGTGCGTGGCGGTGGGGAGGGGCAGGAGCAGCGCAGGGGGGTGCTGGTGGCGTGCCAGCCCCAAATGCACGCAGCCGCGCAGGCCTCTGCCCTGTGCGCTGGCGAGCGCACCCTTCCTCCCAGCCACCCAGCCGGCCACCCATCCCCCCGCAGAGCAAGTCGTCCCCGCTGGGCTCTGTGCTCAAGTTTGCGGCGGCGGGCAAGAACCGGCCCAAGAAGGAGCTGGGGCTGATGACGATGCAGGGGTACCCAGACGTGTATGTGGCTTCCATCTCGCTCGAGGCCAACTACAACCAGGTGGGGCAGGGCTGCGTGGAAGCTGTGGAGGGCTGGGTGGAAGCTGAGGAGGGCGGATGCTCATGCAGTGCAGCACGTCAGCCTTGCAGCGGGCACACACCAGCATAACACCAGATCACAGCTCCACTGCCAGGGCCCCCGACCCCGCGCCTCCTGCCCGCGGCCGCGCCGCCCGCCCCGCAGGTGGTCAAGGCGATGAGCGAGGCCGAGGCGCACAAGGGGCCCAGCCTGGTCATCGCCTACGCCCCCTGCGCCATGCACGGTATCTCATCCATGTCTGAGAGCCAGACCGACGCCAAGATGGCGGTGGACAGCGGGTGAGCAGGGCTGCCTGCGCTGCCTGCCCCGGGGAGGGGCCAGGGAGGGGCTCGGGGGAGGGCCGCGCCCCCGGCTGCCTGCCTGGCTGAATGCGAGCTAGTTCCAGTGGCCCTGCACGGCCGCTGCCTCGTGCTGCGGCTGCGAGGAGCTGCCGCTCACGCTCCCTCAACCCTCCCCGGTGCCCTACCCCACCCCCCCCGCCCTCGTCCCCGCAGCTACTGGCCGCTGTACCGCTACAAGCCGGGCGCCACCGAGGCCGACGGCAAGCTGACGCTTGACTCCAAGAAGATCAAGGGGGCGCTGGAGGACTTCCTGAAGAGGGAGAACAGGTGGGGGGTGGGGTGGGGGTGGAGGAGGGGAGGGGCGCGTGGGCCTGGGCCTAGAGTGCTAGAGTGACACATGCACGCTCAACTCCCCTGGCTGTGGGGGTGCGGGTGGCAGCTGGCGGGAGCATGCTCAATTGCCCGCATGTCTGCTCCCACAACAAACATACACCCACACACCCGCGACCGAGTCGTGCACCACGTTGCACACCCGTGCCCACCTGCCCCGCAGGTTCATGGTGCTGACCCGCAAGGACCCCGAGGCCGCCGGCAAGCTGCACCACCAGATGGAGGAGCACATCCAGCTGCGCCAGGAGCGCCTCATCAACATGGCCAAGGGCACGAACGGCGCCGCGCCGCCCACGCCGCCGCCCGCGGAGGAGGAGGAGAAGAAGTGATGGAAGAGGCGAAGGAGGGCTGCGGTGGGGCTGCGGCCCAGCCACCCCCAGCCCAACCCCATGCTAGCTAGTACGCAGGGCCTGCGGCCCGCCCCTCGTGTCACCCCAGCGGCTTGCTCTCATTATTTGTGGGTTATGTGTACCCCCCTGCCCCTATACCCCACCTCGTCTTTCTGTGCACTGTGATTTGGCTTGCGGCGGGCGCGGCGCTCGCGCCGGCCACTGCTGCTTAGGCTTGCCACCACTCACCCCAAACGATAACGATGCCTCAAAGAGTGCCCTGCTTTCTGTCCTATTTTTCAACAAAACGCAGCGCAAAAAATGAACCTGCCCGCCCTTTCGGTGCTGCCGTCAGCTCTGTGCGCGCCCTTTTGCATTTTTTTCAAATATATAAAGTCAGATGTAATGGTCAGGTGCCAAGAAGGGGAATGCAGTCTCAAACGTCATCCGAATGGCGGTGCACCGCAGGCAGTCCACCCAGCCGCCGCCTCAAGACGTCCCTCCTGTGCCCGCAGCGTCTGCTGCCGCCGCTTGCGTGCCGCTGCCGCCTGCCTCCGCTGCTGCTGCTGCCGCCGCCAGGGATGGCCCCAGCAGATCTTCCGGGCTCAGCTCCACCGTGCCGTCGGCTGTCCTGTGCACCACGGTGCTGCCGCGTGCTGCCGCAAACTCCTCCACAGTGCCTGAGGCAGGTAGGGGCGGTGGCTGGGGCTAGTCAGCATCAGCACCACCAGGGAGAGGAATGGCATTAAATGATGACGGCACGTCAGGTCCCTGCAGCCAGCCTGTGCCCCCTGGCGCGACACCAACCCCTCACCTTTCTGCCCAAACCAGCCCAGGTTGTCTGCGATGAGGTGCTTGTTGTGGCAGCCGGGGCACTCCACGATGACCACCCCCTGCTCATAGCTCTGCTTGCTGAACGCCTTGGCAGCCCTGGTGTTGCACTTAGTGCATGTGAACAGCATCACGAGCTGGCGCTGCTGGAAGTCGGTGTGGCCGGGTGGCGGCCGCGCATGCAGCGCCGCCGCCGCCGCCTCGGCCTCTGCGCCGGTCGTGCTGCGGCTGCTGGTGCTGGACTGCGAGGCCTCCTCCAGGCGCGGCTCCAGCCTGCGTCCGGGCGCTACCTCGAAGGTGCCAGGGGCTGCAGCGCCTGGGGTGTCGGAGGCGGAGGCGGTCGCGGGCCGCACCGCCGCGGCCGCCCACGGCTGCCGCTGGCCCAGTTGGCTCAGCTGCCTGCCGCTGCTGCTGGCCGCGCCGGCATCAACCAGCGCGTCACTGAGGCCTCTGCAGGTAGCAAGGGGAGCAGGCGGGAAGATGGTTCGAGGCCGCCACACCTCTGCAGGAGCCTGAGGCGCATTGCCGCTTTTTTAGAATGTTAAACCAACTCACTTTGTGCCAGAAAGGCGGCGTGCAGCCCGAGCGAGGTGCGACTGCATGGCAAGCTCTTGAGGCACCTCCAGGGCAGCTGGCGATTGGAATAGCTGTTGTTACGACAATGCGCTTGAGGTTCAAACCAATGGCGGGCATCCCTATTCATATGTAGCGCCCTGCTGTGCTGTGCTCCTCTATGAGGTGATCTGGGGGCAACGGCGCGCAGACAGGAAATGCAGCCCTCTGAGGGCTTCTGCACGCAGCCAAGGAGCGCCGGAGACGGCCAGGCTACGGGTCAGCACCTTGGCTCCCCCCGTTGGGCTTCGGCTGCAGCGGCCAGCAAGGTAAGCCCGCACGGGCGGCATCTGCGCTGGCAGGGACGGCGGGGGAAGCCGGGAAGCAGGATGGCCAGCAGACCGGCGGGTGGCGGCGGCTGGCGGCGGACCGTGCGGCCAGCGCCTGCGGCCCCGCCTGCAGAGGTTGGAATCGCAGCATCCTTTTACGACAATGTTTTCCAATGCCAGGCCATCTTCCCCGGCGCCCCTGCAGGCCTTGCAGCGCCCCTCTAGCGGCCCCAAGGCCCCAGCGCCGCGATGCAGCGCGGCGACCACCACCACCGCCACGGCACGCCCGCCGGCGCCGGCCTCAGCGTGCCGGTCCTGGCCTTTGCGGCGGCGCTGGTGACGGCCATCATCATGCTCATCTCAGACTGGACGGTGCATGCCACTAGGCAGGTGGATTGCAGCGCCTTCTCATCTTTCCTGGACCGCCGCCACCAGCACGCCCACGTGCAGCAGATGCTCTCGGAGGCCGCGGCCCTGCCAGCAGCGCAGGCGGCGGCGCAGGCGCAGGCGGCCGCGGCGGCGCCGGGGCTGCTGCCCGCCACCGCGACCGCGCTGGGGGGGGTGGCGTCGGACGCGATGCGCCGCGTGGGCTGGCGCAGCGGCGTCAAGTTTGCTCGCTTTGGTGAGTGGGGCCTGCTGCAGGATTGGCTGCCACAGCAGGCCTTGCCTTGCACCCGGCTCTGCAGCAGGGCAGGGGAGGACGCGCGTGTGAGCTGCCACGACACCGTGTGAGCTGCCACGAACCCACCACACCGCTGCTGCCGCCGCCTGCTCACCCGCAGATGCCGCCGCCAGCGTGGACGCCGTGCTGAAGAGCTCCCTGAGCTACGCCGGCAGTTTCCTGCTGATTGTCCCCGGCAACGGCAGCCTGCAGCGGCGCGGCAAGGGCACCCCTTTCTTCTCTATAGACCCCGCAGCGGCCAGCCTGACGCCCGTGCTGTCCCCCGCCGCGGCAGCGCTGAACGCGGCGGCGGGCGTGCTGGAGAAGGCCATCGGCCGCCGCCTGTTCCCGTTCCAGCTGGAAATCGCGGCGCTGCCAGCTTGCGGCGCCGGCGCCGGCCCCTGCGCTGTGTGGGAGGCCAGCAGCGGTCGGCTCATGCTGGATGCCTGGCTGGCTGGGCAGATGGCGGCGGCAGGGGGAGCAGGATCAGCAGGATCCGGGGCAGCAGGCGCCGTCGCTGGCCAGAAGAGCAAGGAGGCAGCAGCAGGGATAGAGGACCAGGAGGCAGAAGCGGCGGCAGGCCCGGAAGCAGCAGCAGCAGACGATGCAGCAGTAGCAGAGGCAGAGGAAGCGGCAGAAGGGACAGCAGAGGCATCAGCAGGGGAGGCCGCCAGCGGGGACGGCGGGCTGGGCACGCTGCTGGGCGCGTTTGTGGAGACGCTGGCGGAGCAGGCTGCAGAGGCGAGCGGCCTGCTGAAGAAGGGCAAGGTGAGGAGGAGCTGTGCTGCTGCGATGATGTGTGGGGCTGCCTTCTGCACGGCCACCTTATGTTGGCTATGGGACTGGCTGGCCAGCGTGCGGCGCCGTGCTGACCCGCTCTGCCGCACCTGCGCCTGCTGCAGGCCTCCCTGCCTGCGCTGGCGGCCATCTTTGCCAGGGCGGGCGCCGCCTCCGTCACCCTGCTCATGGCCTCCCAGGTCCCGCTCTGGTGGTGCATCGCCTGCCCCCTTGTCCTGGGTAAGCCGGCGGCTGAGAACCCTCGCCGAGGCGCCGGCACGTGCAAACCATGCATGTGTTGTTCCTGGGCGCGGCGCGGCCCAAGCCCTGCCGCGCTACTGATCACCTTGTTGTTGCCGCGTGTCGCTGGTGCAGGCATGCTGGCGCCGTTCCTCTTCAACTTTGGGCTCACTGCGGCGGCAGAGGCCCTGTGCGCCCAGCTGCGCCTGCCTGACGACACCTGCGCCGACCTCTGGTGCGCCTGCCAGCCAGCAAGCCCCTCAGGCACCCCCTGCCCCATCCTTCCATCCCGCTGCTCCTGCCCAGTCGACTGATTTGCGTTCCCGTTGCGGTGTGTCCTTGACTGCAGGTGGGGTGCCTTTGCTGTGGCGCTGATGCTGTCGCTGGCCTCTGCCGTGCCGATCGTGTACCTGTGCCGCCTGCCAGAGTGCGGCCGGCGCGGGGTGGCGGCGGCCGGCGGCGCCCTGGCGGTGGCCGCCCGCATGGTGGCCAGCTAGCGTAGGCTGTGTGGGCTGGCCAGCCGCAGCCTCTCCCACCCAACTTTTCACAGATCCAGCACTGCACCCGCTCCGATCAGCCACCCCGTTCACTATCTTGGCCCCAACGCATGCCCGCCCATTGCCCCTGGCCCCATGCCGCCGTCGGAAGCTGCTCCTTGCCCTGCCTGTTTTGTTAGCCCTGCTTTTCACGCCCTACGCACGTTTGTACCATCCTACCATCTGCCCAAACAACCAGAGGCTTCTCTACCCTTCTCAGCATCTTTGTGTGCTTAAGCTTGCTTGCTGATACACCAGCTGCCTGCCTTGCTTGCCTACCCAGATAGCATTGCCTTCAGCGCCTCGCCTTTACAGCATTTTCAGTAACTCACATTGAGGCGCCGACTAGAAGCTGCAGAGGCTAGCACTGGGCTGTACAGTTGCTAGCTGCTGCCATAGGCGCAATCACTTCCCAGCCCTGCTGGTAGGGCTGCGGCAGCGGGACAGGGGACAGGGCAAGCAGCTTGTCAGTCACAACAAGCTGCGCCAGGGCGAGGCACCGTTTTCAACAACCTGCCCCTGAACCAGCAACTCCTACCCACACACCAGACACACTCGCCGCACCTGAACAGGGGGTTGCTGGTGACCACATCCGCCCCCACAAAGCTGGACTGCCCCTCCTCACGCAGCGCCGTCCTCATGGCGGCCAGCTCCCGCTGCACCGCTGCATCCCCCGGGTCTGCCTCAGCCACAATCTGTGGACGGGGGCGGCGGCAGGGCGCTCGCCCCAAAGTGTTCAACGCTGCTAAGGCTGAGGGCGGCACGCGCAGCATAAGCGTGTGTGGCAGCTGTTCCAGCAGAGAGGCTGACTGCTGCTCCGGGCGAGGCCTTGCAGCAGGCTGCCGCTGCCCTGGCTGCAGCACGCCCCGCGGCCTCCCTCTCCCACCCCTCCCCTCCTCGCCCTGGGGCCCACCTGCATGTCCAGCAGGGCAAACTGCAGGTTGTTGTCCCCGGCGTAGGCGTGGGCGCGGCGGTAGCGCGCCTTGGTGAAGCTGGAGTCTAAGGCCAGCGCCTGCATCGGGGCACAGCATGGGGTGGTGGGACAGGGCATGGGCACAGGTAGGGTGGTGGGACACATGGCACGGCATGCGCAAACGGCACGGCATGCGCAGCATGAGAGGAGGGGGACGTCGTATAGATGGGCTGCCTGGGATGGGCGGCCAGCGATGGGCTGCCTGGCATAGCTGCACGGCTGGCAGGCCCCCACACGAAGTCCCTCGCCAGCCCCTCGCAGCGCATGCGCCTGGCAAGGGCAGAGCAGGGTGAAGTGGCGGCGGGCCGCGCCTGCGATGCGGCATGCTCCGCCTCGCGCCAGCGCCGCAGCTTGAGCAGCGCCGCCGCCTGGTTGGCCAGTGCCAGCTTGCAGCCCGGGTGCAGCTGGGAGGCGCGCTCGTAGTGGCGCAGGGCCTGCAGCAGCAGAAAGGGGGCCCACACGCAAACGGTGATGACGAAGCCGCCGAGGGGTTTGAAGAAAGAAAGGGAGGCAAGTGGATGGGATGGGTGAGCTGCTGCTCAGGGCTGACGTGCCGGACCTCCCCTGCAGCAAAGCAAAGCATGCCACAGCGGCGCGAAGAAGAGCCGGGCAGCGCCCAGCCGCCGCAAGACGCCCACCAGCTCCCACTGCCGCCTCTTGAAGCAGGCGTTGCCCTGCTCGCGCTCCGCCGCCGCCGCCTGCGCGGCGGCCTCTGCGGGCCCCGCTGCCGCGGCTTCCGCTGGCGCCGGCGCCGCCGTGTGGCAGGCAGGCTCGCCCGCCGGCGCCGCCGCGGCAGGAGGGACCTCGAGCTCCGCCTCCTCTGGCACCACGTGTGGCGGCCGCGGCGGCACGACAGGCATGGCGGGCAGCGCGGCGCCCGGCATGCCCAGCGCAGCGGGGTCCCGAGGGGCGGGCTGGGTGCCCTGCGCCGCCATCGCCTCCAGCACTTGCATGATGTGCCTGCGGGGCGCGCAGCAGGCGGCGAGCGGCACGGCTGGGTGGCACCGCAGGGTGCAGGCAGCGGGCTCGGCTGTTGACTCTGGCTGGCAGGCTGGGAAGCACACAGTAGGTGCTGCGTGCAAGGCTGCCGCCCGTGTGCCACAGGCACGAGCCCAGGTCGTGCATCCCCTCACTTGGCCAGCAGGCGCTTGGCTTTGTGCTCCCCCTCTGCCTCCGCAGCCGCATCCGCCTCCTCCAAGCTGCGCAGCGCCTCTTGCAGCCGCCCCATGCCGCGGTATGCCACGCCCCGCCTGCACACACGCGCCAGGCAGCAGACGGCGCAGCAGCGGGTTGGAAGTGGCAGGGGCAGGTGCGCGGGGTGCAGAGAGGGGAGAGCTGCGGTTAGAGCTGGCTGCGCTGCCAAGCCGTGTGAACGCGTTGCGGCACGGGCACCCCGCCTGCTCGCCCCGCCTGCACGCTGCAGCCCGGGCTCGCCTGTACAGCAGCTTGTGGCGTGGCACTGCATGGCTGGGGGTGGAGACCGCCAGGCCTTGGCTGCAGCACTCCAGCGCCGCCTGCCAGCGCTGCGCCTGCGGGCAGGCAGGGCCGGCGGGGCAGGAGGGCGAGAGACGGTGGGCAGGCTGTCGGCCAGCCAGGCAGCTTAGGCAGCTCCCGCATCTCTGCTGAAGCCCTGGGTGGCGCTGGCGATGCTCTGCACGCCCCCCACCCCCCACCAAGCCTTGCCCCGCACACCTTGCAGCAGTTCTCAGCCCAGTTGCTCCAAGCCCGCAGGTCGGCCGGCCGCTGCGACAGGTACCTGCAGGCGCACGCACACACACACACACACACACAGAGACACCCCGGGCTTCAGCGGAGATGTGGCAGCTGCAAACCAATGGGGGGTACACACCGGCACAAGCCCCAGAGCAGTCGCTGCGCCCGCTGTGCTCGCCCACCTGGCGTACAGCTTCTCCGCGCCTTCCACATCCCCCTCCCTCTGCAGCCGGTCCGCCTCCTCCTCCTGCCGGCGCCGGCGCTGCGCCGCCACTTCCGCGGCCCGCCGCCGCCGCGCCTGCCTCACCGCGTTGCGATCCTGGCGCGCCTGGTTCTCCTCCCTGCACCGCAGTGCCAGCCAGAGGACCGAACAATCGGAAAGCAAGAAAACACAATCAGTGAGGTGGATTGGATACCTGCATGGACGGACAGCGTTCATGCACAGTAGGGTGGTGTGTCACCGCACCTGACGCGCTGCTGCTCCGTCTCGAATTCCCTGGCAATGCGGCCAGCCCTCCCGCGCGCCTCGGCAGCCTGCACATGGAAAGATCCAGCCCACGCTCAACCAGCCTGGCATGGCAGGCACGCCGGAGGGGCCACGCCCCACCGCCAACGGATCCCGCATGTGCGCACACACACACACACGTTGCGCCGTGTGCCTGCCTGCCGCCTGGCCCGCGCCAGGAGCTAGGTAGGCCGCCCCTCTCGCTCACCAGTTTGAGCGCCGCCTCCTGCCACGCCGCCGCGCGCTCGTGCGCCACGCTCTCGCCGTGCTCCTCGCTGCCCTCCTCGGGGTCCAGCTCCTCGATGACGGCGGTACCGTACCTGCAGTACCGCAGAGCTCAGCTCAGTGGAGCATCCTTTGATGGCCAACCACACAGCCCTGGCGCACAGCCACACTCGCCACTGGCACCGCTTCCCCCGACCACCATGCAAGCGCCCAAGCACATACCTGTGCACCACCGGCGGCCTCCGCGCTTTCTTCGTGGCCTCCTTCTGCTGCCGCCGGCTGACGCGCTCCTTGAGCAGAAGCCTGTACCAAGCGTGGCAGCCACCAATCAGAGGCAGGCAACACAACCGAGCAGTTCCCACGCCAGGCAGCCAGCCAAGGACCGGCAGCAAGGCAACAAGCCACAGGCGGCGCTTGCATGCACCGGCCGCCCGCTAACGATGGGCGAGGCTCTCCGTATAGCCGGTGCGCTCACATGCGGCTCTCCTTCACCAGCTGCCGCCTCGCCTCGTCCGTGGCTGCATCCTGCGCCGCCTTATAGTCCTCATCCGCCCCGCCCAGGTCGCCTGCCAGGGACGAAGGGCGCAGCTGGCCATGGGGGCAACGCAAGCACACGCACGGCCGGCCAGCCAGGGAGGAGGCGACAGACAGGCAGACTGCAGCGGCATCGGCGGCATGTGCACACACAACACACACACAACACACACACCAATGTGCTGCTTGATCTGGCCGCGGAACAGCAGGCACTGGAAGCGGTGGAAGGGCTGGCAGTCTGGCAGCTCCAGGCAGAGCGTGAGGTCGTGCACCGCCTCCTGCTCACGCCCCAGCTGCATGCGGGCCACGCCTCGGTTGTGGTACCTGCACCACAAGCCCGCCCAGCAGGGCACGCCCTCCGGTCGGGCCGCCGAGGCAGGCGCCGGCAGAGCCGCGCCGCCAAGCCACGCAGCAGCGCAGGCCCAGCAGCAGCTGGGGGGCGAGGCTCAGCTGGGCTCTAGGAAACTCAGCTGGGCGGCAAAGTGCGGGCCCAGGGGCGGCCACCGGCGCACCCACCACTCGGCTTTGTCGGGGTCGTCTCGAATTATTTGGTCCCACATCGCGGCCGCCTCCCGGTGCAGCCGCTCCTTCATCAGCTGCAGCGCCGCCATGTGCCTGGGCAGGCTGCAGGGGTGGCAGCGGCGGCGGAGGGGCGGCAGCGAGGCGTGGGGGGGCGCACCGCAGCGGGGCGAAGGGTGTGGTGGGTGCGCCAGTGGGCTGGATGTGCCTAGACCATCAGACGGCTTCTCCTTCTTCCTTGGACGCCTGGTGCCAGCTCACCTCATGGCGCGAGGATCCCGCGGCTCCTCCACCAGCAATTCATCGTCGCTCACCAGCGCCGCCCCCGCATCCGCTGCCTCCTCGCTCGCACCATGCGGCGCCGCGGCAGCGCCAGCCTCCCGCGCCTGGTGCGGCGGCGGTGCGGCCGCGGCGCCGCCGTCGGGCGTGGCGGGCCCCACGACGCTGATGGTCCTCACCAGGCGCGGCTTGTCGCCGCTGCAGGGCGCCAGCCCGCTGGAAAGCGCCTCAACCTGCTGGGCATCGGGGCCGGCAGCCTCAGCAAGTGCGGAACAGCAGCTGGCAGACAGGCCAACGCTGCTCGGACACACCTGCATACTGCCGCCGCCGCTGCCGGAGCCGCCCCTGCTCCGCTGCTGCCGGGGCCCTGATCCTATTGCCCGCGCCGCCCAGACCCCCGGGCGCTCTGGCTATGGCCCAGCGCGCAATGAGAAGGCCAGGAAGTCGAAGAGCGGCGGCCAGTGGGACTGATGGGGGCGTTGTGGGGCTGTGGGCGCCTCGCAAGCCAATGGATGAGGACTCAGCAGTGCTTTGAAATGAGGAGGGGAGGCATCGGGCTGGCATGCGGAACGCCATGTACATGCTGACGGTGGCGCCAACTTGTGGACTTGTGCGATCGGGGCAAAAGTTGCTTTGATGATTGCGCTTACATGCAATGTCCTATGGATGTCATTTGGCATCTGCTCTCTCGCGATCAGGCCCGCGACACATGCTTGACATGCGGCTTCTCGGCTTAGCGCAAGCTGCCCCTTGCCCTGTGTGCGCCCATCGGATACTGGATGGCACAGAAACTGGATGGCGATGCTGCGGCCGAGTCCGCTTGTGTCGCACCAGGCGGCGGCGGCTGGGCGGCTGGGCAGCTGGGCAGCGGCGGCAAGAAGGGGTGGAACTGCATTCATCCGGCAAAATGGTTGAAGTGCAATACTGCCCACTGTAAGGGTTGGGCCTGCATTTGAAGTGGCATTTCTACCAGCCACTACGAATGTGGGTCATCATCAAACGGTGCGCGGCGCATGCACGCACGTGATGCGGCGGTGGGTGATGGCGCAATGGAACGTGCCGCCTGCTGTGGATCTTATCACAAGCCACGCCCCTAGTGCCAATTAGAAGGGGTCGGCGGCTGTGCGATTACATGGCGGCATGGAGGCGGCCCTGCTGCCCTCTTCCTCCAGCCGCGCCTTCCCCCTTGTTTGCTGCCGCCGCGCCGCCAGCCAGCCTGCCAACCGGGGCCTGGCAGCGCGCTCCTTCAGGCCTATCGGGCTCGTGTGCATCCATATGTCGGGTGGATGGAGCGCAAATGAGCCGCTGAAAGCATCCACGTCCCCCTCCCTCTGCACCTCGGCCACCGACATTGCTTGCAATACATGCGTGAACCTCACTTGCATCGTGATCGTCTCGCATTCTGATCACTTAGTTCAACCAGTGGGCAGGCGGGAGAGCGCCATGCAGGGCACTCCAGTGAGGTCGCCGCCATTGGAGCGGACCCCCACGCCAAGCCCCTCGCGGCGCCCCTCGATGAGGGTGTCAAAGGATTTGGCAGAGGCTGCCCGCCAGCTGAGCAGTTGTAGGCATGTGCAGACTGTGGCGGCCCTCGCATTCCTCTGCGGAGCCGTCTGGGCGGTGACTCTCGTGGGCCTAGGCGCCACCGGGCCCCTGGCACACTTCCAGAGGCATGGAGGTGAGAAATTGGGCAATGCGCGGCGGCTGAACGCTTGCAGGTGGCCGGCAGGGAGGGCGCCCGCACACGCCTTGGTGCCCCCTGCCGCTACCGCTCCAGTGGGCAGGCTGGAGCAGTGCCGCAAGCAGCCCCCTGGCCAGCGCTGATCACAGGAACTGTTGTTGTGGTGTCTGTTCCCGCAGGACGCCGTGCGCTAGCAGAGTATGCCGAAGCAGCCGCGCTGGTGAGCTCAGCGGCCGTTCGGCGCTTTGCCCCTGGGCGCAGACGTTGCCCCCTGCCGCCGTTTCACACCCTCATGCCTGCCGGGGTTTTGGTGTGGAACTAACAGCCGCACATCCAGCGCAGAGCTGGAGCACCAGCGCGTCACTGCGGTGCTCACCCTCTCCTCCTTGCACCATCCAACCATGCAGGGTGTGGACCTGTCTTACGGCACAGCAGCCGATGCGTTTGTCAACGGGCAGCGGTTGAGCGGCGCGGAGGCCGGGCTGCCCGCCGCCATCACGAAGGTGGCGGTGCCCGAGGCGCACCGCCGCCTGATTGTGCCGTGGGACCCCATGCTGGCAGCAGAGGATGTGCGGCGTGGGCTGACGTACTACGGCAGCGGCAAGCGGCTGCAGGCGGTGGCCGCCAAGCTGCTGTCGGGCGAGCCCATCAAGCTGTTCACCCTGGGCGGCAGCGTGACCAAGGGCCAGGGCGCCAGCTCCACCAAGGCAGCCTACCCCTACCGCCTCTCCGAGTTCATCAATGCCACCTTCCCGCACAGGTGCGGCGCCGCGCCGCGCAGCCGCCGCGTGTGCTCGCCGTGCGTGGCATGGCATGCAAGCGAGGCGTGCGTGTGTGCGCGGCTCTCGGGCATGGCGGCCCTGCAGCCGGGTGTCGCGGCATCGCCTGTAGGGTGTGGCTGTCTGACTGCTGCCGCTCACGCTCGATTACGCTCCGCTTGCAGCGGCCACACGTTTGTGAACAAGGGTGTGGGGGCCACCAGCTCGGGCATCTTCACGGCCTGCGTGGAGAAGATGGTGGAGCCGGTGAGCGGCGGGCGGGCTGGCGGGCTGGCGGGCTGGGGCCCAGGCCCGGAGAGCATCACGCACACCGGCCGGGTGCACTGCTGCCGCTGGGTCGGCCTGCGTGCATGCATGCGCCGCGCGTGCATGGATGCGCAGCGGGATGCTTGCGGCGCCGCTGGCCCACCACTGCCAAAGCCCGCCGCCCGCCGTGACCCTGCCACTTGCTGTGGCGCCTGCCCCACTGCCTTGCACTGCTGCTGCCGAACGGGCGCCCCAACTCAAAACCGCGGCTGTGTGCCTGTCCAGCCTTCCACCACTCCCTGTCCCTGCACTTACATGTGTGTGGCGTGTGGTGTGTGCCTGGCGTGCAGGATGCGGACTTGGTGGTGATTGAGCTCACAATCAACGAGCACCCGGTGGAGCCGTTCACCGGCCGGCAGCGCCAGGGATACGAGCAGCTCATCCGCAAGCTGCTCAAGCTGCCGGGCAGGTGGGTGGGCGACGGCGGGGAACTGGTGGCGGACTGTGCCGGAGGCACTCCTGGTTGCCCAATGCCGGAAGGATTTCAGCAGTGGCAGCCCCTCGCCGCCCCGGCCCCTCCCTGGCCCCCCTCTCGTCCCTCCCTCCCCCTGTGGGTGCCCCACCTCTGTGTGCAGACCCGCCGTGATCCAGCTGCACCACTACGCGTGGTGGCGCTCAGAGGGCGACGGCGTGGGCGAGGGCCTCTTCTACTTCCCGCAGGCCGAGGAGCAGCTGACGGTCATGTCGCACGTGCGGGCCCGCATGCCGCCGCTCGCGCTGTGCTGTGTCATGCTGTGCTGTGCCATGCTGTGCTGTGCCATGCTGTGCTGTGCCATGCTGTGCTGCGCTGTGCTGTGCCGCCATGCTTCGGCCAGCGGTCCCTGGCGAGCTGACGTGTCCAGCCCCTGTCACTCCTTCTGTCTCGCTGCATCCCACCCGTATCTCATTCCTGTTGCCGCCCACCCCCCTCCCACCACACCACTGCAGTACTACGATGTGCCGTCCATCTCCCTGCGCTCCGCCATCTGGCCCCTGATGCAAAAGAAGATCGCCGGGTTCCGGGTGGGCGGGGCTGCGGCTGTTGCTTGTTCGGTGGCTGATGGTGGTATGGGGCCATGCCGCCAGGCGGCGCAGGCATCTGCGGCCACACCAGGCCAGCCGCGGCGGGCCAGGACGGCGCCACGCACACGTCTTGCTCACCCTGGCCTGCTCCCGGCGCTGCCGCCTTCCCCGCAGGCCGACAAGATCTGGAACAGCGGGCAGACGTCGATGGGCGGCGACCCCATTCCCGTGGCGGGGCCGCAGGAGAAGCCAGACTTCTTCTACTACGACAGGTGAGGCTGGAGCAGCGGCTGAGCAGCGGGGCGCCTGGCGAGGGCCGGCAGCAGCGGCTGGCGGGCGAGAGGGGAGGGGGCGGCAGCGGGCACGGCTCGGCCACTGGGGAGGAAGGCTGGAGGGCACGCGCAGCTGCTGGATTGTTTGGGCGCGCTGCTGCGTGGTCCAACTGTGGCGCTGTCCGGGCACCGTGCTTTCCTTGGTGCAGGTCCCACCCCAACGACTTTGGCCACCAAGTCATTGCGGAGCTGCTGGGCTCGGTGGTGGCCAAAGCAGTGGACGAGGAGCAGCTGGCAGGGTGCCAGCCCGCAGGCTGGGCCGAGCCGCGCAACAACGTGGAGCTGCGGGAGCTGCCGCCGCCCATGGTGCCCGGCAACGCGGACGCGCCCACCACCCTCTGCGCCATGCAGGTCCGTGGCAGCGGCCGGCGCTGGCCTGCTTGCGCCCTGGCCCTGCTACCGTTTGCGGCGGCGCTGCCTCTGGGGCTGTGGCCCTGCACCCCTGCCGGTGCTGGCCTGCCGGCTTGCTGCGCTTTGCCGGGGCGTCGCGCACGTCGGCCGCGCTGCGTCCCCAGAGCAGGTTCCGTGCGGCGGTGCTGATGCCGCTGCTTGCTGCCTCTCTCCTTCCTGTGCCGCCACTGCAGGAGGAGTTTGAGGGCGTTGTGGTGGAGCAGGCGGGCTTCAAGTACAAGCCGGAGCGGCCGCAGGAGGAGACGTTTGTGGGACAGAAGTGGGGCTGGACGGCTGAGAAGCCAGGTGAGGCGCCGCCTGGCCCTTGCCACATGAGAAGCCTCTGACACTCCAGATGCTGCTGCCGCGGCGCTTTGTGCATGTGGTGCGCTGGGCTGCGCTGCTGGGCTGCACGCCCGGGCGATGGCTGCCGCGGCTGCGGCCCGCTGGACCTCAACCTATCAAACCACCCACCGGCTCATATATGCGCGCTTGCGAGCATACCAGGCTCATGCCCACCCACCCGCCCGCTACGATCCCACGCAGGCGCCTGGCTGATCCTGGAGTTTGACTCGCGGCCGGACGCCAACGCCCCCGCCCAGTTTGGCAACTGGGCCTCTGTGTACCTGTCGTACCTCAAGTCGTATGAGGGCATGGGCACCGCGCAGGTGGTGTGCGTGTCGGGGTGCGAGTGCGACAAGACGGTGCTGGACGGCACCTGGGAGCAGCAGGCCACGCTGATGCAGATCCACCAGTTCAAGGTGGGGCCGCGCCGCCCGGCGCTGGCTGCAGCGGGAGGTGCATATGCAGCGGGGAGGCAGAGGCCAAGCCTGCGCCGTTGGTGGTCAAGAGGCTGCAACACTGCCGCTGCCCTCGCTGCGCTGCCAGCCGGATGTGCTGGGAACTGCCGCTTGCGGCAACCCATTGCACCCCGGAATCAACGCTGGGTTGAGGTGCCGCGGCTGTTGGTGGCACGGCGCGGGGCGCGCGTGGGCTGGAGGCGCACCGCAGCTGCAAGCAGTACAGGCCTGACCCTTGCTGCTTCCTCCTCCGCGCGCCTGGGCCCGCAGGTGACGCAGCACGAGAGCTGCCGCATCAAGGTCAAGGTGCTCAAGGCGCCGGGCGCCGTGAAGCAGGCGGGGCACAAGGTGACGCTGATGGCCATCATGGTCAGCCACTACCCGCTGCGCCTGGACACATACGACCGCACGGCAGAGGAGTTCGCGGCCAAGCTCAAGGGCGAGGACGAGGACGAGAACCCCACGCCCCACTACAAGACCAGCACCACATGAGGCGCGCGTGTGCCGACAACGGCGCCCCGCTGCGGCGTCGTACCGGGGCGACGGGCACCCGGCGCCGCGAGCGGCAGCCAGCGAATGAACTGACGCATTGTCTTCCGCAGATTATATTGGCGCCCCGCTCGGCCCGGCCCGTGGCTGCCAACCGCCGCGGCGTGGCGGGCGGGGCGCTTTCCTATTTATCCCCGTGCTGCCATGGTTCGATGTCCAGTGGAGAAGCCGGCATCGATGCGCCCCACCCTATGCCGCCCTGCTGCAACATTGCGGGGGCCTGTGGTGCGCCTTTCCTCCACCGGCTCTGATTTCGGCATTGAGTGATGTGCCCCTCTGAACAGCTGCTCTTGTCCTTGCTGCCCCATTTCTCCTCCCTGTGTGCACCGCACTGCTAGCTTAGCCGCCCCCGATTCATGCACACTAACGATGCACCGCTCGAATTTTGCCGACACATTGAACGCCGAAAAATAGAAGCGCTGCCCATCCTCCACCCGCGCCCATTGCGCACCCACCTATTGTCTCCTCCCTCTGTACCCTACCACCTGTAAGCAAATCTAGGCAAGTCGAGCGGGTGCGCCGCCGATTGGCTGCGCCGGCGGGCGGTTAGCGAACCACCAACAGCAGGGGTACATGTCCTGTGCCTGCTGCTCCCTGGGGAATGCCACAACACGCAAGCACACTATGCTGCTTGCTCTGCTGTCAGAGGAGGTTGAGAGGCATGTAGCCATTCAAGAGTTGCAAACGCCTGCACCGCCTGTTGCACTGCCCAATCTGATGGTTATCAGCTCGGGATCGGTTGCAAAGAGCGCGGGCATTGTGTTTGCGCCCTGGAAAGGCGGACAGATGTCGGCGAGTTGGAGTGAGATCCACCGCTCTGCATTCTGTCCTGTGCACTTTCGCCCTCTGCACTGGCCCAGCAACCGCCGCTCACATGTGAACCGCCCGGGCGCATGCTGAGCCGGGCAGGAGACGAGTTGCCAACACGCGGCCTAGCAGCAGGCCGGACAGGGAAGGAGCAGGATGTTGAAGGCCTTCAAGGGGCTGAAGAAGCGGCTGGGCAGCTCCAGCAAGCTGCACGAGGAGGGGGCGGCCGCCGACGCCGAGGCGCACTGCGTGGCGGCGGCGGCGGCGGCCCCAGCTTCAGCAGCCGCTGCTGCAGCTCTGCTTCGTGCTGGGCAAGCTGCCGTCACTGACCAGGCCGCGCATGCGGAGCAGCAGGCTGGCGGCACCTACGCAGTGGCCCCGCCATCGTCGGCACCGGTGGCAACCGGGCTGCCGCCACGCCCGCGCTCGCGCCCCCACTCCCCCACGCCCCACGCCTACCACCACCACTCGGCGCACCCTCTGGACGAGTCTGGCGGCGAGCTGGCGGTGGATTATGAGCTGGTGGCGGGGCCGCTGGAGCTGGATGGGTCGCTGCACGACGGCCAGGAGCATTGCGTCGACGGGGAGGAGCGGGGAGGCGGCGGCGAGGCTGGAGCAGGCTCCGAGCAGCACCAGCATCACCATGGGGAGCCAGGCGGCGGCGCCGAGCTGCAGCACGAGGGGCAACACCCCTGGCACGATTCCGCCCCCACATCTGGCGACGCCAGCACGGATGAGGAGGCCGGGCCGGGGGCGCACGCCGGGGACGGCGGCGCGGCGGCCGACGCGGGCTCGGCGGCAGCGGCGGCCGCTGCGGCGGCCGAGGGTATTGCCGATGCCCTGGCCACCATGATGTACCTCACAGAGGATGCAGAGGGGGCGGAGGACTGCGTTTCGGTGGTGTCGGGTGCGCCGCCGCCGCCGCTGGTGCCGCCGCCGGTGCTGCTGCCGCGGGGGCCGGACTGCGTGCCGCTCCGCCGTGGCCCCCTACCTGCAGCGGGCAGCTCAGCTCCCTGGCGCCCTGCCCCACCGCGCCTGCACCCCACTGCTCATGCACCCCTCCACCTTCCCCTGCCCTACCGCGCATCCCATCCGCTCCGCCGCTCTTCCGCTGCCCCGCTTCCCTCCCCTGCAACCCCGCAGACGCCCTCAGCGAGGAGGACCTGCCTGACGACATCTCGGAGCTGAGCCGGGCGCTGGAGGCGCTGGAGGGGGAGGCCCTGCACGGCTCCAGCCCCGCCTCGGCACGCGCCAGCCTGGGCGGCGGCGGCGGCCTGGACGACCAGCTGGCGGAGCGGCTGGGCCTGTCGCCCGATGCGGGAGACCCCACAGGTGCCCGCCTGCAGAAGGGTGGCAGCTGCGCCGCTGCCCAGTCACGCTGCCGGATCGGCTCAGCGGAGCGGAGCCGCTGCCGAGAGGCTGGCTGGATGCGGCGCTGCCGTCGCCGCCGCCGCCGCCGCCGTGCCTGCTGCGACGGTGCCGGGCCACTACTGTGCCACCCTGCTGCCGCTGCTGTGCCACCGCTGCCGCCGCCGCTGCCCGCCTGATCCCCGGCTGCTTCCGTGCCCCTGCCCCTGCGTTCGCCTCCCTGCCGCAGCCTACAGCCAGCAGATGGCCAAGCTGTACAACAACCTGGGCCTGAAGATGATGGAGCGGCGCAAGCACGAGGAGGCGCTGGGACTGGTGAGGCAACGCTGAGGTGGCGCCCGCCTGGCACCCCCACCCCCCAGCATCCATGCGCACCGCACCTCGTGCCGCGCAGCTCCCGCGCAGCTCGCGGCCAACGCCGTCCCCTTGTGGGGAAGGCATTTTGCGTTGCTGAGCTGGCAGGCATGGCCTCCCGCCGCGCCCCCACCCCTGCCGCGTGCCCTGCCCTGCTTGCAGCTGAGCAAGGCGGAGGCGATTGTGGAGAACGACGGCATGTGGGGTGGCCAGGCGCACCGGCGGCAGCGCATGCAGGCCATCACTTACAACAACCTGGGCTGCCTGTTCAAGCGGCGCAACATGGCGCAGCTGGCGCTGCAGGTGCGGTGCGCTGGCGGTGGTGAGCGGCGGGTGGCGATCGTTGGGGGCGAGGAGCCCGTCCAGGAGGGCTCGCTCCTGGGCCTGCGGCGCCTGCTGACTGCTGCTGCTGCTGCTGTGGGCCGCTGGGCAGCCCTGCCTGCACGCCTGCAGGCGCACGCTGCTGGCCGGGGGCGCCGCGCTGGCCTCATCGCCCCCCACCACCCCGCTCGCCGCCGCCTGCCTGCCTCCCGACACTGCCCGCCTGCCTGCCACCCAATTACTGCCACTGCCTGCCTGCCTGCCACCCGGTACCGCCCGCCTGCAGTACCTGCAAAAGGCGCTGGCCCTGGAGGAGCTGGGGGGCCCCGTGCAGAACAGCAGCAGCACCCACCTCAACATCTCCGCAGCCTTCTCCGCCCTCAAGCGGCCAAAGGAGGTGCGGCGCCTGTTCACACATGTGGTGATGGCCGTGGTGGGGAGCGTGGGGCTGGGCATGGTGGCGGCCGCCCTGTGCGCAATGTGCCAGCCTGTCGGCGCATCTCCCCCAAACTCACCCACGCTTGTCATTCTCCTTCCTCTCCTTCTTCTTCTGCGACCGCCGGCCTCGCCCAGCCCGACCCCAGCCTGACCCGAGCTGCCTCGGCTTGGCCCCCCCGCCCCCGCCCTCCCTGCTGCAGGCGCTGGCGCACGCGGAGCGCGCCATCATTCTGCTGCAGCGCCACCTGTGGGCCCACCACCTGCCCTTCCAGGACGGGCTGTCGCACCTGGTGCGCCAGCTGGCCGCGCCGGGCGCCTCGCGCCACC